CAACAACAAATTTATTGTGATGCATGAATCTCAAAATACTTTGAGCTAGAAATGTTTTAAATACAAATTCATCATCATCCAAGTTGCAATTTCATCAAACTTATAATTAAGTTGAGCATCTCATCAAAACAAAGCCAACGACTCTAAAATCGGTTCAATCCAAGTCCAATCAAGCCCTGATCATTGCATTGAACACCATTGAATGATTTAGATCGTCAATTGAATGTCCAAATGAACTTTGATTTAAAAAAAAAAACTATAGTCAAATTGAGTGTTTCGATGAGAAGTATCCAAATAGTATAAGATCGCCTAATTTTGGGGTCATTAAGGGTCCGTTTATGACAACTTCTTGGCTGCTTTGTTTTTCAGACCACCACGAAAATTTTGTTTAGGGAACTGCTTTTTAGAAATTTTTGTGGTAGAAAGTTATTTTTTTCAACCTAACATATTAAAATGTGGTGACTGCTAAAAATTTGCGGTCTACTTTTGAAGTTAAAATAAATTTGTGATATTCACCTCAACTTTTTGAACAACAATTTCTTTTGCAACAACTTCACGGTTGCTTATTCAAACTGTTGCAGCTGCCCCAAACATACCTCAAGTTACCCAAATACTTAAAAAATCACATATGATATGTTAATCAGGAAAGACAAAAATCAGGTAGCTAAATTAGAAGTTTTCTATAATTAGGAGCTTCCTTATTTAAAGATTTTCAATATCTTTATTCTGATTTATTTTCCTTTTAGCTCAATATTTAGATTATGAATATGTATTATTAGGTTACCTAGAATAGATTATACAGAGTATTTTATACCTAAAATAGATTGTAAGATTATTATTTAATGAAATAAAAACAAAGAAAAAAGGCATCGAGCCTAGTCAGCATTCATCCTATTTTTCTCAAAACTTTGACATGATATCAGAGCCAAAATCTTGCCCTCACCACCGGTAGTTATTGGAGAACCGTCAAGACTTCCTTCCCGCCGGTCGTCTTGCTGGAAGGGAGGAACTATTTTTTTGTCTTGATTCGCCCATCAAAGGATTTTTGTTCGCTGCGACAGCTTCATCCGCCTTCCATTCTCCTTCTACTGCTTAGTCCCGGGCTGCTTCATCCTCCTTCGTTCGGTTTGGCTGCACCTTCCTCCTTTGATCTCTGACTACGACTACGTCCTCTCCTTCTCGTGCCTAGGCTCGCTAGTTGGTGCTCCTCCTCGTCGGCGAATGGCCAGCCATCGACCTTCCTAGCTATTCCAGAGACCCCATCCTCCCTCGCCCCAGCCTTAGAGCTTTGGTCCTCTCCTACCCGAAGCCTTCATTGGGTAGTTGGGAGTGGTGGAAGATTGGATCTGCAACTCGACAGAAAGATAGATGGCTTCGGTGGTTCCCAATCGGACGAGGAATACCTCGCTCTTTGCCTCCTCAAGCACGCCAGTCACAGATCCCCTGCTTTCTCTTAAAGTCCGCCCCCAACTCTCGATCACAAGTGCTCCCTCTACAGCAAAGCTTTTGTGTCCTACCTGGCCTATTCTGATTTAGTGGTGGGTTCAGCCAAACCATCCAGATAGATCGTAGGAGAATCATTTTTCGATTAAGGTTTAAGAGAGAACACATGGTAAAAAAAAAGAGAGGAAATCCCAGGCGAAAGCCGCAAGAAGAACTGAGAACGAAAAGAGAACTATTGTGTTTGTATTATCATTCATTTGATTCAGATTTCTTTGTTAGGAATAGTTGCTTCTGCGACATCTTCCATTGCTTCTTACGCTTCGCTTCGTCCGCTTCGACTTCGGTTTCTTCGTCGCACTTAAGGATTGAAGGCTTCGAAAATCCTTCCTAGAACCACGACTTAGACATTTCGACTTCAACACTTTTGACGTGAAGATTAGGGAACAAATTGTCCTCATCGTCGCAGAAATTATCAATAGCATTTGGATTGTATAACAGGACACATAACCTATTTGTGGGCTATGATCGACAACATTTAGATCAGGACGCGGATCCTACTTGTAGGCTATGATCGATAGCATTTGGATCGTGTAACTAGATCCTATTTGTGGGTTATAATCGGTAGCATTCGGATCAAGATGCGGATCCTACTTGTAGGCTATGATCGATAACATCTGGATCGTGTAACTGGATCATATTTGTAGGTACCTTGCTCTCTGCCTCCTCAATCTCGCGCGTCACAGATCCCCTGCTTTCTCTCAAACCCCTGTCCCAAATCTCGATCACAAGTGCTCCCTCTACGACAAGGCTTTCGTGTCATGCCTGGCCGATTCAGATCTGGTGGTGGGTTCAACCAAACCCTCTGAATAGATCGCAGGAGAACCCTTTTTCGATTAAGGTTTAAGAGAGAGAACACATAGTGAAAAAAAGAAGAGGAAATCCCAGGCGAAAGCCGCAAGAAGAACTGAGAACGATAAAAGAACTGTCATGTTTGCATTATCATTCATCTGATTCAAATTTCTTCATTAGACATCGCCTCTTCTACGACATCTTCCAGTGTTTTTTTACGCTTCGCTTCGTCCACTTCGACTTCGGCTTCTTTGTTGCACTAAAGGATTGAAGGCTTCAACACTCCTTCATAGACACAGGGCTTCGGCATCTCGGCTTCAGCACTTTTGGGGTGAAGATCTGGGAATAAATCGTTATCGTCATCGCACGAAGAATCAATAACATTTGGATCGTATAACGGGACGCAGATCCTATTTGTAGGCTATTATCGGTAGCATTTGGATCAGAACACAGATCCTACTTGTAGGCTATGATCAATAAAATATGGATCCTATTTGTGGGCTATGATCGGTAGCAATTGGATCAGGACGTGGATCCTACTTGTAGGCTATGGTCGATACCATCTGGATCGTGTAACTAGATCCTATTTGTGGGCTATGATCGGTAGCATTTGGATTGTGTAATTGAAAATGGATCCTTCTGATGGCTATGATTCGAATTTCTGAACGACTATGATAAAGGATTACTTTTTTTACTTCGCTCAAATCATGTTATGGTTTAGGAGTTGTCTCTGAGGCTTCAACATTCTCGACTGTGACAGTTTCGGCTTCGACACTCACGGCTTTAGGATTTTTTATCCTGGCAGTGTTATCAGTTTATTGTTTGCAAATTGATGATTCCTGATCAGTGAGCTTCAATTTGAGGGGGGTGTCAATCTGGAAGAACAAAAATCAGGCAGCTAAATTATAAGTTTTCTATAATCAGGAGCTTCCTTATTAAAATTAATTTCAATATATTTATTCTGATATATTTTCCTTTTAGTTGAATATTTAGATTAGGAATTTATATTATTAAGTTACCTAAAATAGATTATACATAATATTTTGTACCTAAAGTAGATTGTAAGATTATTATTTAATGGAATGAAATCAAAAGGAAAAGGCATCGAGCCTATTCAACATTCAGCCTATTTTTCTTAAAACTTCGACATGATAAAGTGTGATCAACATGAACTATTTGATCAGGTGGTTGTTAAAATTATGAGTCAAAAGACCAAAACATCCCTCCCCAAAATACTATAATTATGCCCTCTCTCTCCACTTGAGAAAAAAGGGAAGAGGTGAAGGATAAGTGGAATAACATATTCTGAAGAGAAAACCCAACGAGTAACCATTGGCCTCTATAGCTGTCAGCCACCATGGAACACCAACTTTCGTAGCCGCGGATCATTGTTGACCACCACCACCACCACCAATCACCACCTTCTGTTGCCGACAAACAACCATTGATGACCACTTTTGCAATCCTTATATCCTAAGATTTTCCTATATTTAGTATTTTTTGAGCTATATAAAGACAAGTGAGTTTTTCAGTGCAAGATTTTAACCTTATTCTCTTTGTCATGGGAGTAGAGTGTGCCCATATACTTATAAACATATAATAGATTGCTTTTACTAGACCATACCCAGTGCTTTTTTTTATCTTTCTAGAACTTTTTACATAAAATCTTGGTGTCTTATCCCAACTTTTCTTTTATTTATGACTATGCTAGGTTTTCGTACAATATAAAAATGTTAAATTATCACTCAACCGCCACAAATTTTATAGGACGCAACAAATTCCATATAGAAATGAATTTCAAAGTAAACAAGGAAAAAAAATATGATTGATCAATAAAGAAGAACATGATCCAAATGAAAGAGCAACTAAATTTGGCCTTCATAAGGCCACATTTCACAAACATAATAGAAAAAGTCATCAATGGCTCTTCTACCATTAGATATATACCATTTTCTTTCCATAGATTAAGCATAATGTTGAAATCTCCCCACCAATCGCGGAAGATTCATCATTTGGTCAACATGAGGAACATCAAAAGAAATATTAATCAATGATAGAGCACAATGCATCAGATCCATCCGAATAAATAAATATGATTCTATTGCATAGACTAATGAAGACAGAGAGAGAGAGAGAGGAGACCGTTCAATTGAAAAAGTAAAGGGAATTTCCATACTTACTACCACAATTCTTCTGTATTTACATATCGAACATTTAAAATTTAATATTTACACTCACAATATTTTGGCATGAAAACAAATATTTAACTTTTAAAAAGTCAATAAATGGTGATTTATATATATATATATATAATTATATTTAATACCATTTTAATGATTATAATACATAAAATCATATAAATAAAATAGTATATTTTTAAAAAAAATTAATACTAAAGATATTTTTAATATAATAAAAAACTGTAAGGTTACTGTACATGAGCTGCTTCAAATTTCGATCAATTTTAATTCCTAACAATTTTTTATAATATATATTAGCTTTAATTCTGTTTTTTTTTTTAGGATTTAAAATAAATTTAACTAATAACTACAATACTATTGCGAATTATTAAATTTTACGGTTTATGAGATATATCGTGATAATATTTCATTTAATTCTACCATTTTTCAGTTATATAAAATTCAGCAATTGAATTATGAACAAAGCAGCTAATTTTACAAGTTTGATGCCGATATATATATATCTAGAAATTTGTTCAACTACAGAATTAAATTTATCAAAAATAAATAAATTTAAAAAAAATAAAATAAGTAAGGATTCTACTAACTGGGAAGAGCAGCAGCAGGCCAAGCATTAGCAACTGATGAGCTATTATCAGTCCAGTTCTTCTCTCCCCAATGCCACAACATACTCTCCCAGAAACAGAACTCCTGAAAGCAGATATGAAGCCTTGGATCTCTTATCTTCTTCTTCCAATGCCCATCCACAAACTCACCCTTCTCCGCCTGCCTTCGATCCCACTCTAACGCCGCCTTCTGCTTCGATCTCAAAAGACAATACCTCTGCAGCTTCACCGACATCGTATCGTGCACTCCCCACCACCTAGCATGCGCCACATCGCTCGCAAACTCCTGCAGAATCTCAACATTCCAGTTACAGTCATAGTCCCGAAAGCACAACCATGGCTTCAGCCCAAGGTAGTGTAGAACATAAAGAACCGGCGGCTCGGCTCCAAACAATCTTATCTTCTTCTGCTTGATGTCCTCCTCGTCGCCCACCCAGAAATGCTTCAAGAAGTTCATGTGCTTCGGCATTCGGTGCCACCATGTAAAGATTTCATTCAAGTAGCCTTGATCTCCACCGTTGTAAGATTCAATCTCGTTGATATGATCCATCAGCAGATCAAATGTGCAATTTGATGGTTCGATAACCATTACGCCTGAATTGAAGAGCGTTGCATTGTTGCCTATGGCGGTGATTTCGGGCATCGCAAAGAGGAAATCGATGTTCCGGAGGATGAGGAGGTCGGCGTCAATGAAGATGATCTTGTCATACTCAGTCAATTGCCAAAGCCGGAATTTGCTGTAATTCCATTCATTATATGCATCGCGCTCTGCCTTGGGATTTCGAATCCTTTGGATTGTTCTCACCTTCCAACCGGCTTCCTCGAGGCCGTCTCGGTGATGGCTGCTGATTGTTTCGTCAACAAGTATGACTAGGTCTCGTGTAGAGCCGGCCAAACGGATGCTTTGAGCTGCAACAATGGCTCCGCAAACGTAAATATGCGCCGAGTGAAGTATTGTGGCGTATGCTTCGCGCTGGCGACCTGATTCCAAATAGCGCCTCGCTGCAGCCGAAAGGATTATTAATTGTGATTTCTAAAGGCAGGACTGAGAGAGATTCAGGGAAGAAATTACCATGTGTTTTAAGTGGAACGGCTAGTTTGCAGGAACCAACAGGAAGCTGGAGCTTTTCTCTGAGATTTATAGGATCGGGATTGAAAAGCCAAGCATTTCCATCACGTAGAATCAAATTCTTGCAAGAGAAAAGATTAGGGATGGGAAAGCAGTCAGTGAGAAGGATTACATGAGTCTGTAGCTGTTGAGAAGCCAATTTAGCAGCAACGAGCTGTAAGTGAAATCGCGCGACATCTCTCGACCAATTTTTAGACATTTTATTGCAAGGAAGTTTGACAGCAATAAGGTCAAATAGTGTACTACTTGCTACTGTAGGATCAGGGAGATGCACACAAGTAGGAACTTCGAATTCTTCTTCCTCGTCGATCCATTCGGGATATAGATCCTCCCAGGTTAGGTTGGGCTTCGCAGTATCGAGAAGAAGAGGAATTAACTCGGCACGTGGTAATAGTTGCTGCCATGAGTTGATCTCAGTGATGTTGAAATTTAGAAGGCCAACACTCAATTTTTGTTTCCTGCCGTCAAGTTTTGTGACTGCTTTTGAAATTTGGGTCCAGTTAATGTTCAAATTGGATAGATATCGAGAATCAGAAATATGCCTTTCCCATATCCAGCCAACATCAAAAAATTTGGACCTGAAATTTCAGATGCGTTATGGTTACTATTAATCAAAATAGAAATCTGGGCATGAATTCCCTCTAAATGATCACACAAATATAAACCGTTGGAAAAATAAGAAACAGAATTTATGGTTCTACTTCAAAATTGTTGTAAGCAGCAGCAGCGACAACAGTTTTATCCCAATAAGCAACGACAGTTTATCCCAATAGTTTGGGTCTGCGCTGTGAATCCTCTTTTTGAATTCATTATTGTTATGTGTAACATGGCATGTTGAGGGGTTGTTTGGTTTCAAGTGTTTAGAATTTTAGCGCATTCATATTTGGAACACTTTATGAAGTTTGGTTGGTTATAGAAAAAATGCAAGAGATTAATTTTTTTTTGTGTTTGGATTGTTGTAAAAGAAACCATTATTTTTATTTGTATTTTTTTTTTTTGTAAAAAATATTTCTAGGCTTCGAAGGCGGCCAGTGGCGAGCAGGCATGGTGGTGGCAGGTAGCAGTTAATTGGCAAAAGACTCGTAGCAGCAGTTGATGATGAGAAATGTGATGTGATTTTGGAATACACAAAAAACTAAATTAAATGGTGAATTTAAAAAACAATAAAAACTACTTTCAATTTAATTATCATTAAAAAAAAACACTTAAATTTTCACAACCCCTACAATCTTTTTACACTAAACTCAAAATATCTAGAATCAACTAACCCCTAAGCCTATTATTTGCTTACACTTTGGAATTAGCTTCCATTCATCTTAAGCTTACATTTACTCATTAGTCATGTAAATCTTTAGACGCTAAATTTATCCGTCTAATGTGCATATTTTCAACCCACCATTGTACAAGAATGCTCAAACCACACAAATCTATTTTAAACTACATTATCTTAAAAAGATACATCAATGGCCCACTAATATAATTATTTCTTAATTTAACCTTTAAAATTTTGACGCACATTACCTTAAAATTCCCATTTCTCCACACTCAGCATAGCTATCAACAAAGCTGACATTATCAAAATTCTGTAAAATTTATCTTCAAGTTTCATGGCATCTTATCTTTATAATATTCATGAATCGCTTCTCTATTTTAAGCATTAAATCTCAAATATAAGCATTGCTTATTTTCTAATAATATTTAGTGATGATTGTTAATATCAATTATCAAATGCATTAAATTAGCATATTATATGTTTAGTCATCGTTCTACTACTTTTGTGCTCTTGATCTTATAAAAATTTCCTAGATTGTTCTTTTTCGTTAATTTCACAAGATGTTTCATTGTTGTGAATTATGATATCCATGGAAAGCATACAATAAGGTCTCTCATTTTGAATATCTTTTATAAATATCTTCACAACTAATATAATTGACTCAATTTTGATCCTCCAAGTAAACTTATGTAAATGCAAACCCTTTGGCACTATAATACTAATTATCATATTAATTAATTTTCCTGCAGCCTCCTACTAACCAACCCCCTGATGTCGTCCCTTCCAGCCACCACCCATACTGCCACCCCCTTCCAACAGCCTTCCTTGCTGTTGTGAGCCTCCCCAACCTTTCCAACACCCAGCCAGCCACATCCCTACTGCAGCCACCTCACCGTATCCTGCTACCACCCACCGTCGAGCCATCCGATAGTCAAACATTACCTTCCATTATCACCTTCTGAAAATCCAACCCTCCATGCTTGCTATTACTCCGTAAACCGCAACACCACCACCCCCAACATAAGCCCTAGTTGATTTTGTGTCGTGCCTTTTGATATTTCCTAGTTTCGAACGAACGTTGTTGTAGTGTCTATTTGATTTCCGTAATAAAAGTTGCATTTATATTGTCATTTGGCCCCTCCCCCAAAAAACCCACCCACCACCATCCACTCCTAAAATCTAACTATGATGCCAAGAAGTTGTCGGTCAACTTTTTCTTTCTGATTAGATTGAT